GGGAGCTGTGGAGGCCACCCATTGAACAAGAAGAAATCAATTGGTGCCTACAAAGAGCCTTCACACCTATGTTCTAGAGTCTTTGGTACAGGGACATACTTTGCAAGCAAAAGAGAAATATAAACACCAATCCACCCACAAATGCTCTGATCTACAATGGTGTCCTTTCTGCAAGATATGCTAGGGAATGATGGCACAAAGCCTATGGAAGTTACCAACCAATATATGATTTGGCTGAAGGTTCAATCCATGAGATGGAACCCATACTCAACACTGCTTGGGTGAACAAGAACCTGAACCTAGATATCCAAGGGACCTAGGCTAAAACAAAACACTGCTGTCCAAAAGAAAAAAAAAACAGTAATAAAATGACTCCTAATGACATTCTTCTATAATAATGTTGTATAATTATATAATATAATTATCCATATAACTAGATAAACTATAATTATTTTATTATTAAAGAAAAGAAACTATGGGGAACTACGTAGTAAAACCCTATCTCAAAAATTAAAACAAACAAAAAATCAAAGAAATGATTTTTAAAAAAGCAAAACAAGGTGTAAGAGAGTTGGTTCTGTGGCTAAGAGCATTAGTGTAGGTATTGTTCTTGCAAAGAACACAAGTGGGGGTTCCAGCACCTATAACTCACAACCACCTGTAACTCAAGTTTGAGGGAAACCAATGCTTTCTTCTGGATTCCTTGGGGACCCACACTCATAAGCATATCTCTACACATTGACACACACATAATTAAAAGTAATATAAATTGAGTCAGAGATGATTGAGCATATCTTTGATCCCAGAACTCAGGATCAAAGACAGAACTCTATGAGTTCTAGGAGAGCCTGGTCTACATATCAATTCCAGGCCAGTTAGACTACATAGTAAGAACCTGTCTCAATAATAATGATGATGATAACAATAATGATGATGATGGTTGTGGTAGTGATGATGGTGGTGGTGATAATGATGATAAATTTTTTAAAAATCAAAACAAAAAATTGGAAACAGTCTAAGTGTGTAATAGTAGGAAATAAATTATATTACAGTTAAGTAATATATAATTTTTACAAAGTTAAATATGGTTTGTAAAATATTAATCACATATTGCTAATGAAAAATTATGAAAGAACAAGTACATTATGAAATCACCTTTGCAAATTTAAAATATATATGAGAAGATGGAATCCTTGAGATTATTAACAACAGTTGACACAGAGGAATCACACACAAGTAACACAATTAAGGCAGAATAGTTGTAGAAGAGCCAGGCTACCCACTAACTAGCCTGTTCAGAGCAAGGTACAAATTTTAATGGCTCCTTGCTAAAACATCCTACAGTGCCAGCTTAAGCAGCCACCTCTTCTGCAGGATACAAATGACTCACAGAGTATTTACTGTGATTTAAAGGGTATCTTACTGGATTCACTGTTTTTCTTAAAGTAATTCTTACACAGCATATTAGGAAAATAGGAAAATATTTTCCTATCCTTTTGGTAATTTAAGCCCTATAAATCTTTTCCAGATCAAGATAAGTTGGGCTAGTCTTTGGAGTGACAACGAAGAGCTCCCCAGGAGAGTCCTATCCCTCCTAACTTGCTTGAAAGAGTATTCACAAGTACAAGATATAGTAGCTTGGAATGCTGAGTGCCTGCATCCAGTTTTTACCTCACAGTTTTTTAGACTTTAAGTCTTTGAGTTTGAAAGTTATTTATTAGAATTTTATAGTTTATGCATTTCTTGCTAGTTACCAAGCAAGGCAATCAAACAATGAAGATAAGTTCACATGCATTAAAAGATAAAGGGATGCTGTAGAGGAGCTTGTCATGTGTGCATAGCACTTTCAACCAGGACCAAAGCAGACACCCTCCACATGAGCTAGAATTGTAGTCGGCTCCTAGCTTTTACGTCCAGTCAAACTAGATACTGTATTTCCAAAAACAAAACACTGATAAGATACTGCTATGTGTTTACTTGAAGAATCACAGAAATCATCACATTATAAAACCTTTTCTCAATCCAAAGAAAAAACAGGTAGATTTTGCACAATGGACCCATGTAATTCAGAATGAGAAGCATCTGAAGTCTGAGTGTCTCAAAGTCCCCGCCCAGTGCCCATGACTGACATTTGACTTTGAGCCTATCAACCTGGATTTCAGATTTTAAAATAAATTGGACTCAAATTTTCCTCCTACTACTCTGATTTTCGCTCAGGAGTTCTGACAAAACATAAAATTACTGCAAGGATGATTGGTTCAAAGGGACTATAGCAAGAATTTTGAAGAGAAAAAGCTAAATTCATGGTTTAGAAAGAGTATTACTGCTGCTTAACCAAAGCAAGGGAATACAAGTTGGTTTTGAATCCTTGTTCAAAGACACCATTCAAAACTCTTAGCAATACCTTATGAATAAACTTTTGTCAAACTCCTTTGCTCTAAGTTTTAGAAAAATTTAGAGTCAGGCAATCAGAGAAATTTAGTCAAGCAATGAAAGAGGAAAAGTGGGGGAGAGGGAGGAACAGCCACCCCAGCTTCTGGGGTGATGACGGTCGCTGCCTTGTTTACTCTGCTTGCTACAGAGATGACATTGAAGCAGCATGCCATTTTGGGGCGACAAAACTAGCAGTAGGAGGTTTTCCCCCAAGACTAATGTAGTCTCTCTCTAGCCCATGGCTCCAATTATGTCTCACAAAGCTTGCAAGTTTGCATATATCACAGCAACATTTGCAATTTTCAAAATTAAAGGAACAAATTTTCTTTTCCCAATCTAGAAATTTGACGGAATTATTTGCTAAGTGTGACTCTGTAAGCTTGTTGTTTGATACGTGATACATTCATATGCTTTAAGGGGAAAAACGTTTCCTCATATTTCAGAGCCCCTCAAAGAACTGATTAGATAGAAAACGCCATAAAAATCAGTCTTATATTGGACTGGAGTCCAAGACTCTCCAGGCCTTTTGCCTCCCCAAAACTCACACAGATGACATAGGCTGACCAGGTCTTCAGAAGACACCATTTAACATAAGGAAATGCAACCAGGGGATAGTTTGAGGGAAAAGGTCTTACCTTTGGGGAATCAGCTTCTAGAGTGATTAGGAAGGGGAGCTTATGACAAAAAAAATGTAATATAAAAATTAAGTAAAAAAAAGTTAATGTAAGATTATAAAATAAATAAATTAAATCATTATACCATCCCCAAACATCAACCACTTTCTAGAGAAGCAAAACTAGCATAACATGGGGTTTTCTTCTGAGTAGCATCTAAGGCGGCTGCACGCTAAGATCCACACTCATTTGTAAGTCCTGGAAAACCCAGCAGAAAATACCAGGACTCCCTTGCTGTTTCAAGACACACTCTTCCCTCAGCATGCACTTAAAGTCACCAGCACAGCTCCAGGACTGCTCGCGTGTCCACAGACAGATGAAAATGGGTGGATGTTCGGGGTAAGGTTAGGGAAGTTGGTCAGGGACTTGAAAACAGGAAACTAGAAATCAACTAAACTAGAATGACCATTACATGTGCCAAATCACTGTCACAAAAGCAAACAGGGAATGGGGAATGTGTCTGGCACCTACAGTGGTCCTGCGGAGTGTGTGATGAGGGAATACGATGAAACCACATAAAAAAAAAAGTGGGCCAAAATGAATGTTCAAAATTGTCATGCACTGGGGTCACTGATAGCTCCATTTCCCCCGCACTGTGGTAGTTTTAGAGTGGGTTTTTATTTGAAAGGAAGATACTGCCAAACATAATGTTTGTAAAAATTGTCATTCTCCGTTTAGAAGAAAATTTTCTGACACATCTTAAGTCTAAATTTGATTAAAACCAATGGTATCTCTTCCTAGTGCATTTATGCCATAAAATCATTAGCATTAACATAACCTTATTATTTCAAAACTCAAACCTTTTGGAAGGAAAGCGTGACTCCTTGTCTTTTGAGTTGTCAGCAGTAACCAGAAGGTTTCCCCACATGGCAGTCTTTGACATTTCATCAGAAATATTGATCACGGACGGGTCATCTCTAGACAGGAGTTCATCCAAAAGGAAATAATATACAATAAACAAGCAAAGAGGCACTCAGGTAGGGAAGATGAATATATGACAACTTTGTAACTATGTGAAACATTTTACCTACATTCTTCACAGTAAAGTACATGCAATATAAAGTTCTCATCTTAAACATTTTGAGATGTACAATTAAAAGTTATTAAAGGCATTTACAACATATATCCCACTACTACATCTGTCTCCAGAATTCTTTTCATCTTATCAAACTGAAATTTTATATCTATTAAACAATAACTCTCTGCTTCCTCCTCTTCACAGCCCCTGCAAGCACCACGGCATGTTCTGCCTCTTTTGCTCTATTTTACGTGTGCCATGTAAGATGCCTCATGCGGTGTTTGTTTTTTCTATCACTGCCTTATTTCATTTGAAAATGCCCTCAGAGTTCAAGATGCCCTATCATATGCCTAAATTTCTCTCCTTTGAAGATTAAATAATATTTCATATTGTTTATTATAATAGCATATTTTAAATAATTAAAATTGAGAAGCATAAAGTAAATCACTCAGTTACTGAAGGGTATCCGAAAAATCCAAAGAAAATATTCCAGCTGTGTAGATGTAGATTTGGGCTACAGTTTTCTTGAATCATCCCTAATCTCAGACATTTACTTCCAATTCTGTTCTAATTTAAATGCTCAAGAGGCCCATGCTGCCAACATTTTAAATTGCTGTTCCACCCTCTTAAGACCTCCATCTCTGCACTACTGGGGTTCTATTTAGAAAGTGGTCTCCTGTGCCAATGTGTTCAAGTGTACTTTTCACTTTCTCTTCTATAAGGTTCAGTGTGACTGGCTTTATGTTGAGGTCTTTGATCCATTTGGACTTGAGTTTTGTGCATAGTGATAGATATGGGTCTGTTCTCATTCTTCTACATGTTTTTGATAGCCAGTTATGCCAGCACCATTTGTTAAATATGCTTTCTTTTTTTCCATTTGATATTTTTTGCTTCTTTGTAAAAAATCAGGTGTTCGATGGTGTGTGAATTAATATCCGGGTCTTCAATTACTGTATTGCTAGTGGGAATGCAAGCTGGCACTGCCCCTTTGGATGTCAGTATGGTGATTTCTCAGAAAATTAGGACACAACCTTCCTCAAGACCCAGTAATACCACTTTTTGGTATATATCCAAAGGATGCTCAATCGTGCCACAAGGACATGTGCTCAACTATGTTCATAGCAGCATTGTTTGTCATAGCCTGAACCTAGAAACAACCTAAATGTCCTTCGACAAAAGACTGGATAAGGAAAATGTGGTACATTTACAAAATGGAGTACCACACAGAAAAAAAAAATCTTGAATTTTGCAGGCAAATGAATGGAGCTAGAAAACATTTTGAGCAAAGTAACCCAGACCCAGAAAGACAATTATCACATGTACTCACTCATAGATGGTTTTTAAACATAAAAAAAAACAGACCACAAATCACAATCTCAGAGAACCTAGACAACAATGAGGACCCTAATAGACATACATAGATCTAATCTACATGGGTAGTAGAAAAAGACAAGATCTCCTGAGTAAATTGGGAGCATGGGGACTTTGCGAGAGGGTTGAAGGGGAGTGGGGAGGTAGGGAGGGGAGCAGAGAAAATGTAGAACTCAATAAAAATCAACAAGAAAAGACTTCCATCTCTTTTGTTTCCTTTGTCTTTCTATCCTTTTTCTTGCCAGCAACATCACTGCATTTGCTGTTCATAGTTTTATGTTCTATCCTGATCCTCTGTTCTACTTGAATACAGTGACAACATTATTCTAGATCACTGGTCAACAGTTGCTTCCCCCAAAAGTCAAAGCTGTACACATGGCACTTACTCAGTAATTACGTGTCTGAAAATGAATTCAGCCTGTGCCCTTGATGGGGTGTAACCAAGGAACCTACAGTATTAGGTTCTGTGCCGGCAGTTGGCTGGTTTGTTTAGCTTTGTTCTGTTTTTACATTTTAAATGTACAACAATTATAGAAAACATTCATGCTGTGTCAAAACCTCTCAAGACTTAGAAATATCATTAAATGGCAGCATAAAATAATCAAAGACCAAGTGAAAACTTTTGTAATAAAAAAAGCATTATTTTTGTACATATAAGTAACATTCTTTACTGTGAAAAAAAAATGACATTAACTAAACTCCTAAGCTGGCATCTTGTCAACTCTCTTGGTAGTTGTTTCCAAGAGGACAACGAACCCAACGTTTAGTGTAAATGATACACTAGAACTCAGTCTTGCTCAATCTAAAAAAGTGTTCTTAATTCCTCTAGCCTTCTTGAAAATGGAGCTCCCTAGAAACTCAGCATAGGAGATCAACTAATTTCCAAAAAAGCATTAAATGAAAAACAAGTATATCATGGTCTTATGAGACAGTCTTAGGAACAAAGAGGTTTACAAAATTTTGAATAAAAAATGTAAGCTTTAAGTGATAGTACTTTTTTATTATTTCATATGCAAAGTTCCTTTATGAATTCACAAGCTAGCATGCAGTTTGGACTGTTTTTTTTTTTAACCTATTTAACTACAAAACCCTTGAGGAATGGCAGGTCATAAAGCTAGAATTCACTCAAGAATATATTCAACTCAAACAAGAGTATTTTGAATGAGAAAAAAAGAACTAAAATACTTTTCCCAGTTGTTTTCACCTTTAAGTAACAGGTAATTACACCTAAACTTTTGGGGAGAATATGGTTTGGGAGTAAGACTGAGATACAATAGATTCTTTCCCACTTTGTCTTTTAAGTATCATGGTAAATCTCTTCCCCTAAAAAAATTTCATGTTTATTTATTTACTGGCACAGCCTAAGAACTGTGAGACTATACACTTGGATACCAAATAGTACTTAAAACAGACTTTATGAGGAAATTATCCAAACTAAACTTTTGAAATAGGAAGATAGAAAATGGGGACGAGAGAGGAAGGGAGCAGAGAAAGAAAGGGAACAAAGAAATAGTCAGGGAGGGAGGGGGACAAATGTTTGTAAAAATTTCCATTGTAACTAATAAAACTTTGCTTTGTTGTCCTTGTGTGTAGAAAACTCAGTGTATTTTGCAGAACTATATGAATATTTTCTCAAATGGCAGACTTGACTGACTAACCAAAAAATTAGTTATCTTTTTGGAAGTGACTTTTGTTAGGAGCAAATTCTCAGAATAAAAATGTTTTCATAAGATTTCCTCACAGATACTGACCTCATTTATACTAGAAGTGAACGGTGAGTATCTTCAGGTGGTAATTTCTGAGAATATGAAAGTAATCTTTCATACACCTTATAAACCATGAAAAAAAATACATCTCCCTGTGTTTGCTTCTTTTTGTCATTTTGCTACACAAGTGTTGGCAGAACTTACAGCAATCTATAATTTATTTCTTGGTCTTAGGGTTTTTTATATTTTAATACAACTTCAATAACTTTCCTATGGTATGAAGAACATAACCAGCATATTCTATGACCCTCACTCATGTGTTTTAAATATGTGTTTACCTGTAGTGTCCCTCCAGTGGGAGTTGTACTGTACCCTCATCTTCCATGGCTAGCATACTTTGTTCTTCCTGGAAAGACAAATGTACCGTATATAAAGTGAACCTGATGGGTCTCCATTTTACATTAAAGAGGAAACACAGATTAATGTTTTATTATCTCATTAACCTCAGGACCTTCCACTTTGTTTGCATTTATTAATGCTAGTACAGGTCGTTTCATAAAGCCTCAGCTACTAAGAACACAAGTAATTAATGAAAATCTCATAACACAAAGTAATTTAAATGCTAACAACAATCTCGCTCATGTCATTCAATGTGAAACATGGTTAATTTCCAAGCACATTATGAAATAACCTAAATTTTACAAGAATAAAAGTATGAGTAATGCTATGAGAGTTTGTTTTTTATAAATTGAATTTACATTCCCAAATTCTCTACTAGGAAGAAGTAAGGGCTACATATTTAGAGCATATAAATGCTCGAACTCTACTTTAGAGTCACCTGTAAGCAATGCCAAAACTTCACCTATGGGTAAATGGCTCCTCCATCTGGAGGTTCTGATTCTGTAGGTCTAGAATAGAAAGTGCACAAGTTTACATTCCTAATAAACTGCACACGATGTTGATCACACTGTCTGAGACCACATTTTGAGAACTGCTCTAGAGAATTGGAAAAAAAGGCGGTAGGCACCTTCTTATATGCATAAAAACATGGATTTGGGTCTCGTTCACTATTGCAGCATTCTCTTAACCTGCTAATCAAGACTTCAACCTTGATGATCCAGACTCAGGCTATATGTTGTGGAACAACGGTGACGGGACCATATGAGCTCTGCTGCTAACCTTGCTTATATGCTCCCCCTCAGACACCTCATAGTGCATTGTACTCTGTGGAACTAATTATTTATCTTGTATCCAAGAGAATAATTCTGTTCACTTTCTTGTGCTGTTTTGTAAGGGATTTATTTCTTTCAAAGTCCGTTTGTGTGCTGTCATTGGCAGTGCTAGGAGGACTAAGAGATGATTAGTGCGTGAGGACCTAATGAGAATCAGCTTAAGAGGAGTTATTTAGGCTTGAAGTTTAACACGTAGGGAGGGCAAGGTGTCAGGTACATGAGGCACCTGGTATAAGCAGCCAGGAAACAGAGCAAACAAGAAGTGAGGCCCAACTACAAATTTAAAACCCAAAGGTCTCGGTGACCAATTTCTTCCAGCGAGGCTCCATCCCATTCAAATTACACAACCCTCTAAACAGTGTCACTAACTGGAAACTAAGTGTTGAACCACACAATCTAAAGAGGACATATTACAACTAAACTTGACCATTATGCTCCATTCTTCCATAGGTTCATTCATAAACATCTCTGAGATCCAAGGAAATAACTTAACTGTGAACTCCTGTATAATCAAAAAGCAATTTGAATGTCTTCACCATACGACAGGACAGAATAACCGTCCCCATTCCTAAATGGAAGAATGAGACTATAGAAAGGAAAGATCACACAAAAGCAAGACCAAAACCCAGGAGGGCAAACACTAAATCCTATAGATTCATGTCCAGCATTTGGAACTCATGACAGAATCATCTGTGGTCCAAAGGGCTTAGGTAGCCCCATCTCTCCTGCTTTATTACCAGCACCATGCATAGCCTCTTTATTTGCCAGCTCTGCTCCCTGCTGCAGGCTTTGCTGTGTAGAAATCCTGTGGTTCTTGCCTTTTCCACATGAGGTTTTCTTTGTAACTTCAACTTCACAGCCTCATAAATTCCCTTCTTGGGGGCCTTCTTTCAGTGATTCTGACCCCATGATAAATTTACTAGCCTCAGTGACCTTCAGAAACCTTGGCACAGGTTTCATTTCATTCTATTATTCTTGTATCTTTCATGACTATACAACCACTACCACACAGTACTGCCAACTCCTTCAACCAGCTCAAGATGAAGTCTTGCCCTCTTTGAAGACAGCTGTATCAGCTTTTGTATCCTGAACCCTAGAAAAACACATCCATAGGCAGTTGTTTCTGAGGAGGCAATGCCTTCATCAGTATTCTCAGATTAGACTTTAGTCTTAAAAATGAATTTCCAATTTCACAAGATGGATCTTACAGTGGGTGGAGTCTCACCTTTTCTCTTGTACAGAGCACAAGATTTCCCTTTAATGGTACTAATCTCTAATGACATACTAGCCTTATCAACAACAATCTTACATATAATTTTAAGCTTACAGTTTTCCCCCACAAACTAGACGTCTTTATATGTTTTTGTTCCACTTGTTGCTCTCTGGCTAAAGATCTGGATGAGAGCAATAAGTAATACCCATACAGTATGAACACCTGAACAATTTTGACATTTTCTCTCAAACAATTTAGTCTATTATTTCCAAATTTAGGTACTCTGAAGTTCTCAGGAAATAGGTAGACTAAACACAACCAACTTCTTTGCCATATTATGAAACAAATTTTCTCTAACCCAGATCCCAGTAGAATCCTTGTTCCCTTTTGAACCCTTTCAGGAATTGCTCCTCCACTGTCCACATTTCTTTCAACATTATAGTCTACTGAACTCCCACCAGGGCAGCCAGCAAAGCTTTGCATATAGTCCTAGATCTTTTGCTAGCTGCATTCTAAACTCTTCCACATTTTCCCCACAAGCCTGTGCCAAAACCCAAGAGCCATATGGTCAAGTTTGTCACGGCAACAGCCTTATTCCTCCACAATAAATAAATACACAATTCCTCTGTATTAGTTACTTTTCTCAGAATGTGAACAAATACCCGATGAGAATCAGCCTAAGAGAATGGGTTATTTTGACTTTCATCCAGGGATATAGTCCATTATGACAGGGAAAGCACTGTATCAGGAGCAAGAGGTAGCTGGCCGCCCTGCTCCAGTAGTCAGAAAGGGGAGAGCAGCACCAAGTGGGGCTTGGCTTTCAAATCTCCAGCAATCAATTTGCTTTAGGGGCATCACTTCCTAAAAGTTACACAATCTTCTAAAAAGGTGTCATCATCTGGGCACCGAACAATCAAATATATGAGCTTATGAGAAACAATTTATACTCAATTTACAACAAGAAGACCATTAATTAAAAGAAGTCATTTAAGTATAAGGAGAGCCAATCTGCAGCCTAGAATGAGGTGCTCCTTCCAACTTAGTTTGTCAAGATATATGGGATATAACATAGCATATACATAACATACTATACACCATAGAGTCAAAGACAGAACGTATCTATACATTCTGGTAGAAAAATACGACTTTTTATAAGTCTTATGTTGCTGTACATGAAGGGACATAAAGAGAACACAGTGATCCCAAAGACTACATAAGACAAACCAGGATATAAACAAAGTATACACGTGTCCTTGGTTGTTCACTAGAAGATGATACACAGCATCTCTTCTGGCCAAATCAGCAAGATTTACTAAAGACTAAAGCGCAAATCAAGCTGAAAATAATAAAAGTACAATCAGTACCTGTGTCACCTGGCAGCACAAAAAGCAGACCCATTAGCAGCAACAAACACTGGGGCTAAGGTTTTGTGAACAGTTTTTTCTTCCTGATGATTTTCCACTTTTCTCTCAAATTGCTTTCAATAATTATTTTGCACTCCGAGGCTCGCTAGTGTGTGTGGGCTTTATTCTAGTCATCATCCTATCCAAACAAAAACTCATCACCTCTAAAGATAGCATTTCCAAGCCATGCTTATCTGAAGTGAAGGGTGGCGGAGCAGCCGCTGCTGCTGTCTTCAGTGCCAGAAGGGATCTGGGTGGGCCTGGGAGTGGTGATGGAGGGACAGCTGCATCCAAACAGCACTGCTGGGAGGCAAAGGAGGAGACTTCCCATAGAGGGGCTGTGAAATCAGGCGCAGTTACCTTGATCTTCACAGCCCGGGTTATATCGTCATTCAAGAAGACAAATATCCGAATAGAACCGAGTAGCTAACTACTGAAGAAGCACGAAACGTGGCTCCCAGACAGCACCTCATCTACACAGGAACTGTCAATGATACACTGAGCTACATCGTGAAGCCCAACCACAACATGTTAGAGGGTTTGGCCAAAAAGAATTTAGAATTCCTTATGCTATGACGGAAAGACAATCTTTTAATTAAATTGTTTATCAAAGAAGTTTTCAGGTATAAAAAAAAAAGGGGGAAACAAATAATTCCATATCTAATAAAGAGCAAAAAATGACACACAGAAAAGGAACCTACTCATTTCATGCATTGATTGAAGACACATTGTGTTTTAGGTACATATCAAAGAAAAATAATAGGGACACTACCAATCAGGTTCACTTAATGAATGTATATTTACATAATCTAGTGACAGGTAACTGTAAGGTACTGAGATACAAAATTAAAAAGAAAGATATAAACTCGATTCTCAAAGGAAACAAAAGATTAGCACAAAGAACACAAGAACAGACAGTGAAGAGAAGAGACTTCAGGTAGGAAGAAATGATGTGAGATAAATAAGGTGTTTCCATGACAGTAAGCAAGCAGCTTCACAAAAGACAAAGGCCCATGGTGAACTGAAATGGGATTCTAGTGGTTTTTGATAAACTGAATGATATTACATCCTTAGTCTGAACTTTATTTTGTAATAGAAAATTGTAATTATTATATTATAGTACCTGACATATGGTTAGTCCTTTACCTTTAATAAAATAGTTGCCTTAAATTATATATCCATTTAGGGGCACAGTTTGTATATATGTGGAAGCGCTTTAAAATCTCAAAGTTTAAACAATAGCTGAGAGTCAGCATTCCGCAAGATACTTAAGTTACTATGGGGGTCAAATACTTAGTGATTTTTGCAATTCATGTGTCCTAAGAAATGGGAGGAGATTCAGGAGTCACGTTCAACACCTCATTTTATTGAAGAGGCAAATAAGGCAAGAAGAAGTTAAAAAATTCATACATCTCCTTCTCTCAACTAATACCATCATCTTCAGATATTGCATATGTATAAATTTGAAAACAATAAGGAGTATACTTTTAAGAACAATTATTTCTGTTTTCTAACAGATTAAAGAGTTGATAGCATAAAATAATAAAAACTTAAAAGGTAAAATTGGGGTGGGGCATATAGAATTCAGCAAGCCCATGGAGTCATCAGAACCTATGGCTCAGCAACGTTTTGAATTTTGTGCGTGTGTGCACATACGTGTGTGTGTGTGTGCATGTGTGCATGCGTGTGCGAGATGAGCACATGTGGCAGTCAGAAGACAAGGAGTTTGTTCTCTCCTTGCATATGTGGGTTCCCTAGTCGGCAGGCTTGATGGGCAGTGCCTGTACTGCTGAGCCATCTCACTGGTCCCAATTCAGCACCTTTAATTGCCTAAATTACTTTAAGTACAAAAAAATCTCTGATATGGTAATCTTGTATAAAGAACTTTGCTGTTTTATAGAGATTGAGATTATGTGAGTCTAATAAAAGGTTTATCTCAGATGTCAACATCACCTGGAGGTCTAAGAAAATAGATTTCTGGCTCTGATATGCATCATTTGATGAAGCAGGCCTGGGAATTTGCATTTTTAAAATATTGCAAGGTGCTGGCTGGTGCAGCAGAGACCCTGGAACCAGTTTTTGGGAAAGAGCTGCTTTAGGAGATAGAACACACTTGTCCCACTCCATAGTTGAATCATAACATCCCTTTCTCTATGTTAGTAATTAGGATGCACTTCCTAAACCCACAGCCAACTCTTACCTTTCTGAGAGGTGAAGCACTTGCTTTGATTTATTTAATTGTGCTTATTTTTAGATTGTTCTTTCTTGGAATCTTTCATGATCACAAGGCCCAGTTTACCTTATTTTTTGTTCTCTTCTATAGGGTATGTGTTAGAGCAGTCCCTCAGTAATGAAGAAGGTATAGAAATGATTACTTCCACGGAATTGCATCTCCACCCCTACCTAACACCGGTACCCATGTTTTCCACCTGAGAGTAAACATTCTGCTGGAATTTTCTGCATTTAACAGTAGTCCTTTTGTGGTGAGTACAATGTCCTAGGGAATATTTAAGTAGGGAGGAAGGCATGTTGGTACTCTGAGCACATTTGGACATCCAGAATTGATTCTGCAGTCTTCCCTTTACACAGAGCAATGTGCAAAATGTCAGGGTTCCAATATTCATTTCTACCCTGATTATAATCCTTTCTTTCTAAAAGCTGAAGCATATGTATATGCATATGCATGAAGTACATGAAAATTTGGAACAGAAGCTCTGCGACCTTGGACTGGCCTGTGTAGCTATTTATTCTGCTTAACTCATTATTGAATTTTAAGGTCAAATGAATGTTTTCTCAGTGCCATAAGACAAGAAATGGGCTACTGATAGGAAAACCCTGGAGGATAAAGGTCCAAGCTTGTAACTATCATCAGAAGGACCAGAGGTGAGCTCGCTTTAAATTCAAGTCTCAGGGAGCTGAGACATTTCTGCCGTTTATCATCTTGCCAGATCACAACAAGAGTTCCTCAATTAATTTGAACATTTCTGAAGAACTTATCCATTACCCACTCTACTGTACAGTCTCTTGGAGTCCTGGGCAGTGGTACAAGACACTACAGTACAGTCATGTCTTTCAGGGGAATTCATAGGCTCAGAAAAAAGAAGATACCCAAGTCTAGGCCCCCAAGTAGAAAATTAACCTTGGATTTAAGCTTCAGTGTCATCCTCCACAGGGCCTCCTCCACTCCTCACCGGTTCTGCTTTCCCGATGCTAGTTCTAAATAGAACATAAGCATCTTCACACGTCCTTCCTTATCTCTCCACACTCTTGGTGTGATGTCTTCTTTGCACTACTTAGAACTGCTTTTCAATGTTTGAGGATAGGTTATTCCTTGAATGAAACAGTGGGTTTTTTGTTTATTTCCATGCAGTTGGGATCATATGATATATCATCGCCATAATCTTTGTGAGATTTTAAGGATTTATAAACCCTTCTGGTAAATATATTGCAAGTTATTTTTCCCCTCATATTTGGAACTGAAGGATTCAACTATAAAATTCCCCCAGTAAGTCTTATTCTATTTTTATGTTCTTGCTGGAAGTATAAGTTCTAGGAAATTTAGTGATATCTAGTTACTCTTAAAATCTTTACTTTTAAATTCACAAAACAGTAAATACTAACAGTGCACAGTAAGGCATAATGTGATATAATATAAAAAGGTTAAAAGTTCTATACAAGGTCTCAGTGGAGTTAATAAACTCCCAAAATGCAAATATAATAAACACAAATGTAAGTACTATATATAGATAATGTATATGTTAATATATATATGTATATAACATTATAAGTAGTTATGGGCAAGAGGAGTGACTAATTCTATTAGCAATAATCATATCTGAGATAAACCTTTTGGCTGGATATCATTGTGCAAAGTTACAGTGGCTAGTTCTAAAACATTTATGAGTACTGTCAACTTGTTCTCTGAATGTCACGAACAAACAGGAGCATCTGACATTGTCTTTCTAGAATAATAGAGAAAATGACAATGACAGCATAGTGGCTCACACAGCATTTTCCTTAGGGATTTCCCAAACACTAAGAGAAATGGAATTCTAAGACCGTTTCACTCTGAGAATGGCCTCAGGAGAACACTGTGTGAAAGAGATGGAACTCTATGGAAAAGAGTGCCTCTACCTTATCCCACCAGAAACCGTAAAGATGTTTGACAGGAAATAAAAGCAGTGCAATAAAGAAAACAGAATGTATATGTTACTAGACAAATGAGCTTAGTAATATAATCTTTGGGAAGATGGGATAAATTCATAGGCCAATAAACATTGTCTTTCAACTTTAAATCTTGGGAAGTTTTTTCAGGTGGGGTAAGTTTCAGTTCATCATATAGGCACTGTTAAGTTATTCTTAGAAGAGCTCTGCTACTTAGACAAATACAGTAAACAGAAAAGTCAAGGACTAGCGCCAGTTTCACAGTATTTTAACGTGGCATTAACATTGCTAGAAATATGACTCTATACATGCCTTCTACAACATTTTGGAAATTTGAAACATTCATACAGAAATAAGATACACCATCGTGATGTTTTTATATGTGGATACCATGGAGGAAGGGTCCACAGATCACAGATTATATAGTTATGTTGGTTGAATGTTCTCTGCCAAAAATTCATCAGAATTTGTGGCCCAATCTGGCCTATCCAAATGACTGAGCAAAACTAAAACTGTTGTTTGCAAATAAATTTCCCTACAGGAAAGAAGAAAAGTATCTGTGGTCCAAAACATATTCAGTGGAAAAGAAACTGAATGCTTTTAGTAATCACCTGGGAAAACAGTAGTGGAAAGAATGAACAAGTCTCCTAAAATGTTTCCTTTCTATTTCGTTTATACATAGAAATTTTTCTTTTGTTTTTGTGTTTGTAATCTTTGGGCTCAGTTACTCTGCTAAAAATGTTTTTATTTTTTTTATTTTCATTTACATTCCTTATAGTTTTTTATGAGCTTTAAAATGGTGTGATTAAATAGCCTTCAAAAAAGGATTCAGGCTGACATGGGAACTTTATATATTTCATAAAGCTTATATCTAACTTGTTTCTTCTTATAAAACAGGAATAGAATAAATCAGTAGTCTGTGAAGTTAACTAAAACCCGAAGTTTTCTCAAATAAGTTTTTAAAGCTTGGATCACTTTAGAAGCCAGTCAGGTTTTGAACCTGCCCCCCCCCCACCACCAAAAGAAAGAATAACGACTTTATTAGAATCTACTGATTAAAACCTCTTAGCAAGAAACATTACCAACAGTGAAATATATCACATTATTTCCTTTTCAAAGATTCAACCAAAAGCAATTATCACATGGCTATATCTCAGGAACAGTTACACTTTAGTAGTTTTCCCCCCACCCATGATCAAGAAATCAGAAAATAAGCCTTATAATTTAGAGAGTGAACAAATACACAAGTTTTCATTTTTCATGTAGAATTGCCTTACTTGCGTAAAATCTCTGGCTTGTTCTCTGTTTATTTGTTTGATTTTCATGACAGGGATTCTCTGAGTAACAGCCTTGGATGTCCTGGAACTAGCTCCTGTAGACCAGGCTGGCCTCAAACTCATAGATATCTGCCCGCCTCTGCCTTCCAAATGCTGGGATTATAGGTGTGCACCACTATTGTTCTTCTCTTAAATAAAATACCAAGGTTTATTCTGACTTACTTCTTTTTCAGCATCTTCAAGTTTCTTTTTCTTACTCTCGGGCATTAAATCATCAAGCCAGCTGAGTTCCCGTTTGGTAAACAAGAAGTCCATAAACTTCCTCACAAATACCAGGGCTAACACCTAAGGACAATAACAAAATAATTTAAAATGTAGACAAACAATGGAGAGGAGATATAGATGAGCCTTAGGACTTCAATTAAACTAAACATTGAAAACATGTGTATAAAATATGGCCTAATCTTTCTCTTTATTTCCTTTTCTTATCAAATCACCAGGATAGAATCTAAGATTTCATTCAATGTCAAAGGCAACTTAAAGAAAAATTTTAAACTATGAAATATACTTGATTATGCATCCTAAATGCATAATTAAAAGCTCAAACTAGGACAAGTGAACATTAAAAATTCTATATGCTAATAATTTTTGAATTACATATAGTCATTCAAATTTACTATACTTATAAATGCATTTAAAATATGTCTAAAACATTCAATTAAATTTCATTTTTAAAAATTTGCCCAATTTTTCATATTTGTTAGTATATTCCAATGCTATTTTTTTAATTTACATTTTCCATCCCGCTTTCCATTAAATACTACATTATAAGTAACCAAGTAAAGAAACTGATATTAAATCAGCAAAATGCAAAATATTTTTCAAGCCTGATTTTAGTGCCCAACTTTATACTAGATTTTCTAGTAACTGTTCAAAGTGATTCAAGGCTACTCAGTTATTGCTGTTTTAGTTCATGTGTTTCCCAAAATTCAGTTAAAGAGAAAGTGTTAGGGGAAGTTTCATACCATCATAGGAAAGACAATAGCAGCTCTTGAGACTTTGATTATCCACAGAAGACCAAGACAGCTCATCTGAATAATTGTGAAGAGATGGACTTTCCGAAGTGGTACATGCCTTAGATATATAAAATCTGGTTGATGTTTGGCTGGCATCCAGAAGAGCTTTATTCTATCAAATAACTAAAAGATTAAACAGACTATATTGCAATTTAAGAACAAGACAACAATAACAGTAGGACAATTAGATATTTAGTATGTTCCAAAATATTAGGTTCAAATGACAAAGTTGTAAAAACTGCAGGACATTGAAAATGACATACAGTGTGGCCTTCTGTTTATTGAACAGTATACTGTATTTCCTATAATGTGATAACAAGGTGTCATTTAAAACGGTTTGCATAAAGTCGGTGCTACATTTTGCTACCTTGAGAACCACCACTATGTCAGACAAGATAAATTCATTCTCTTTCTGTTTATCACATCATAACTTCTCCCTTTTGTCCCCAAATATTGGTCTTCTAGGCTTCTTATGCTTGGTGTGCTTTTTTCTCTCCCAGAGTGCACCATCTACCCTCAGGGCTTTGGCTTTCACATGCTAAGTACTCCCAGACAGACCTCAGCTTCCTTCAAGGGCCACACAACCCCCTGCTGCTGTGTAGAGAGTCTTGGATTTCTCCTTAGTGAACCTTGCCATTTTGGCTTTGGCACTTTGGTCCCCAACTAAGGTTTTGATGCTGTCTTTAGAAACATACACAACTTACATAAAGATTTGGCCTACGTATATTTTTGTGACCAAAGTGTTTTATTATATTTTATACTTGGGGACTGGGGAGATAGTTTAGTCAGCAGAGAGACTCTAGTGCATCCCTGGAGCTCATTGGCCAGCCAGTCTAGCAAATCTGTGAGCTCCAGGTTCACTGAGAGACCCTGTCTCAGAAGACAAGTGACAAGTGACCAAGGAAGATACCCAGGGTTGACTCAGAACCTCCATATGCACACACACGTATTCATGTGAACCTGTGCATACCTAGGTACATGCAACTGCACCAATACATGCATGTATGCATACATATAATGCATATCAATGCAGATACATAAAGAATTGCAAACTACCTTGTTTGGGTTAATTTAATAGATGGAACCAGTGTAACCAGTGGATTATGTCTATTTCAATTTTGTCATAATGATAAATAAAATAAATTTTTTATAAATTACATTTTTATAGACACTTCAATACATTTTGCTAAATAATTGATTTTACTACATATTAGTTTCATTTTGTGAGCCACTTTTAATCTTTAGGCCAAATTTTATTTATATAATTCTTTCAGTGAGAGGTGGCTATTTAGAAAACAGTGGTTTTGACCACCCTCAGCCACTATCATATTTCATAATTTTATGATAATATATGCTACACAGCTTCAACGGAACATTGATAAATAAAATATTGCTCAGCAACCATAAGAAAACTATCAGCTACTTATCATCAAATCTTTCAACTTTACATACAGGGCAGATAAACAAGTATCTGCAGAGTTAGTACTAGAGCATCCTGGTTTGTCAAAATCCAATTTTATATGGAATAGATGTAATAGGATACCAAACAACATAAACCTATCTTCCCTTTGCCTTATGTGTGGCACAACTGTTCCCCAGTTATGTAAACTGCAATCAAATGCACATTACAGCATCCACCAATATTCATTCATAACATTCCAAAGTTTTTGCTGAAACCCATGACAGAACTGACTGCTAACCTCATTCTTGGCTCACCTCTCATGTGGTGTGTGGGTGTGTCTTTTCTACTTCATAACTCTCTTTTAAAATCAGGAATCATTAAACAGATACAATTTTGTGCATGGAGGAAGAAGAAGAAGAAAACCCTTTAGCTTACAACTGAATGTCTATTCCTATAGAATTTTCCCCACCCATCATTATCCATTTAGGGAACTGTGCTGTTGCATAAGTGTGCTTCAGGGAGTGGGTGCTTCAATTGTTATTGTTTAAGTGGCACATTTGCTTCACTTTGGATCCCTGCAATGTTGGAATGAATATAGATGTGGTTATATATTTGAATACAGAAACAGCATTCATGAGAACATTGTGATCTGTTTTTTCTGCCATATTTCACAGTGAGAAGCCTACATAGTAAGTTCCTTAATAGTGCCAAAAAGCCAGGTGACATAAAAAGTCCTCCAATTTGCTAGGTTACAAAGTAGCATGTTCCTTAGGATATCTGACATAGACAGCTAATGTGCCTGCCTAGTACTACTCCAAGAATAACAATCGTGATAATTTTATTCTAAATTTTGCATTTGGCTTTCAGCGTGGCCCAATAGCAGCATGTAGTATTTCTCCACCCAGTTAGCGTCAATTCCCAATAGGAATGTTAACTGTTCACTTAAATTTCCACCAATTCTGTTCTCAACATAAGACCTGTCAACGTGTGCCTAGGCTTTCTGTTTCATTAATGTGATTTATAACTTAATTAAATTTGACTTGAGGACTTCGATTTTTTTCCTCAACTTCACTTGAAAGGATCACACCCCAAGTAATCCTAAAACTTGACATTTTTGTTTAATTCCAAACCATGTGGGCAAAAAAAATCATTTGAATGAAATTAGAAGAAAATGTGTCAGGATCTACCCACAATTGTTTCACTTTGTTTTTTAAATTCCTGATGCTTTATTTATGTGAGCCTGAGGCCTAATAATAAATGCTTTCCACTTACAGACAAAATCACCAGTCATTGAAACTTTTGCCAAAGGCAAAAAAAAAAAATCAAAAATCAAAAACAAATGAAAACACTAAACTAATTCTATTAAAATGCATTTCATACATGATACTTTAAATGAGCAAATTAAATCTCTAAGTAAACTCTGAAAACCTAACCGCTCCCTATCACGCCCCCCTTTCTTGAGGCCTAGTCCCTATGCTTTGTGTGTTTCAGCGTCTTACAATGGCCTCTGTTGAAGTTTTGTCTCAGTTATAACAGCCTACACCGTTCCAAGGTCTGACTGCTGCTTCTCTTAAGAGTCGGAAGGCAGGACTCAGGGACAGAGATCTTGTGCTCCTGTGCCCCAGCCAGGATTTAACTCCTCAGCATGTTTTGGTAAGAAGATAGTGTTGCCACACCATAGCAAAAACTGCTCTTCATATTATGTTTAGCTTAAAAAGAGATCTATGCAGTAAGTAAGCCCCATAGCAGTCTCTTATGAAGAAAAGGAAGTGTTCTGGCCAAAGAGCAGCACTATAAACAAAGGCAATTCAGGGTCAGTTGAAGAGAAATCTGTGTTTGTTTCTGAAAGTAGCAGAACAAACTCCTACAGCATTTTGGTTTAATGCAATAAAAAATGTATTGTCTAGTTGTGGAGGTCAAAAGGCTGAAATGAAGACATTGGCAGGACTGTGACCTCTGTGATCCCTAGGAGAAGGAGCCTCTCCACTTCCTGCAGTTCTTCACAGTTTGCTGTATTCTTACGCTACGGCAGCAAAACTCCAATCTCTACCTCCACCCTGCCATGGCCCTCTTCCTTCTTTCTGTCCTGCTCAGATACAGTTTGAGTCTTAAGTGTTCCCCGCAGGTTCGTTTTCTGAACACCTGATCTCCCGTGGTGGCATTGCTTTGGAAGGCTATGAAACCTTTAACAAGTGGTGTGGGATAGCAAAAGTCTGTCCCTGGGGGCCAGGTCTTTGAAAGTTATAGCCAGCCAATAGTTCATGCCCCACACTCTCTGCTTTCTGGTTTGCTGCCCTGTGACCAACCATTATCCATATTTCCACTGCTGTAGACAGAGCTGCTCTACCAGGCCTGCTGCGATGGCCTGAAATCTACTGAGACCACAAACCAAAATAAATCTTTTGTATAGGCATTTTTTCTATTGTGGACAGAATCCATAAACATGGCTTGATAACTATCATAGTTTGCATTTGTACATATCTTGAAATGAAGTTAATTCATTTTCCAAAAGGGTGACAGAAACTAAACTCTTTTCAGTGTTAATATATTTATGGTAAATGGCATCTCAACTGGCAAAGTGCTGGCCGAACAAGCATGAAGACTGAGGTCAGGTCCTCAGAGCCCACTTAGTAAAGACAGTCATGGTGGTGCTTGGCTGGAATCCCAGTACTGGGGAAGTCAGGTTAGAAACATCCCTGGGTTCACTGGACAGCCACTCCGACCTAGGCACTGGATATCAGGGTTGTCTTCTGGCTTCCACACATCTGTGCATTCTCCTTCAATCACACCCAAACATACACACATGCACATAGCAATTTAAGGCTACCTATCTTTGGGGCTGGATAAAAGCACATAAGTGAGAGAGTGCCTATTTAGTAGAGACTCCTCTTTAGCATTTACAATTCTGGCCACTTTAAGAAAATGTACATGTGGTCAGAAAGCCTCTCCTCAGATGATGGCTGCTGTCACATGACTCACATCTGTACTTGAAGTTACAACAGGTACGCCTGTAAGAGTAAAGTAATTTACCTGAATTCCCTTTAGAGATGAAGCACCCATGTAGAGAAACACTCCATATAACACTGGCATGGGGATAAACTGTAAACAAACAAAACAAAACAATTAGAAAACATGAGGCATTATTTTCCAACATGTGGTCATTCATTTTGCACCTACCACAGAGGGAGGAAAAGAGAAAATTAAAAACATTCTAGAAGCCAGTATGATGCAGGATTGGAGGACATAGTTCAGACTCTACCCCAGCATTTCTATCTGGGTAACTGAAGCAGTTACATAAACTGCCTGCACCTTAGTGTCTCAATATCTAAAATAGACAATAGTGCAGTTAAGTGTCAGACTTACCCTAAAAGCCCGATGATTCCTAAGAAATAGTATTATAAACTATTACTGCACCATAACAAAGATTGACTATTAGCCACATAAAGACAGTTTACATTCTATTTTAAAATAGTAAAATATTTGGATTAATGGTTAAGAACAAAGTTTAATTTACAATTTGGTTCTAGGTTACGGCAGATATTTGTTAACATGTGCATTGTTCGAATTTCTTTTATTGGGTTAGCTCATTTTATCCAGTATCCTTTTACTTATATAGCAGAAATACATTTTTTCAGTGATTAGATACAAGAAGCTGTGTAAATTAAATAATTCAATTAATATTTGATATTTAAGCAATCAAAATGAATGATAATTTATAAAGCAACTAACATGCTGCAAGAATATCTGCCAGATTTATATCACAAAACAATCCCTCTTTACTGTTACTCAAAATTAATTTGATAATTTCAAATGTGAAGATTTCTTATATGCAATGCTGATTTACATATGGCCTTCGAAATAAAAAGCTGTCTTTGCGACCACCGCATTGTCCAGTCTGTGCCACTCACTTATAGTAAATTTTATCCAATCTACATACTGACAAAATAAAAGACCCTTTAACCTGGGCCGGAGTACAGTGAACTCAGTCACAAGCTGCTCAGGAAGTGTGAGCTTCTCCCATAGCTTGAAAATTACAAATCAGATTTGTTGTTGTCAGAAAGTACGACAAAATTACACGTTCATGTACTTAAGGACTCTAAAACATAGGGCAATTTTCATTCATACTTGGTGAAGGAAAATAATATAAAATTTTAAGTAATATATCACTTTTACCTCATGCCATGCAATATTTACCAATTTATGTTTATATTAAACTGCTACCTTAAATATATTCATTCTTTGATAAGGGATAATTTTATTACCTTCAGAATACTGGTCATAAAAACGGATGAACCCATAAGAATAAAAATCATGAGCCCAGTCACCCTCTGTTCTCTGATGCCGAGGAATTTGGGTTGTTCTCCTGGAGCAGAGCATTCGGATTCCAGCTTCAGGCTGTTGACATGTGTGATGGAGAGGACTGTGGCAGCCACGAACCATGGCAGGCCCATAATGGAGCACACGCCCAGCATGACAGCCACCATTAACAGGTCCAGGTGATAGCCACAACCTTTCTGTTAAAGACACAACAGAAAGAGAAGGGAGTGGTGTCAGCAACAAGTTACGGATGTCTTGGTTGTGAATAGAAACCACTTCCTGACAATACTGAGAATCCCTTCATGGCAGATGCCCTTGAACTAAGCCCCTTACTACTGTTTCCAGCAGCCCGCTTCTGTTTCAGCAGGAGATGTTTTATTGGAAAGAATATCATAGAGCCTAATCTCCCTTACTTAGTCTCACTTTTGTCTCAGTCCATTGGTGACTTCTCAACCGTCAATGAATCCAGTCATCCCTTGAAATAAGAGCATCTGTGTTTCCTGCCTTCTCTCTAATCCCACCTTACTCTCACTGTCCCACACTTAAGTGCAGGAAGGAAACTGAGGAAAAGTAGGTGCCAGGGTGTTCAGAAATGGCTCTCTTGATAGGCTGATTGGGTTAGATCTCCGAGGAAATAGCTCAAAAGACACCCAAAGGCACTCTTGGCCCCTCCAGCTGTGCCCTGTGGGTGTAGAAAGTGTAAAAACCCCAGAAGCTGCAAAACTCTTGATCTATATTGTGTTCTGGTTCTTATTTTTATTTTTTAATACAACTTCATGAAAGTATATGCATCATAGTTCTGGGAATGCATTGTTGGGATCAAATGATGGCAAGCATGGGCCTCCAAGGGTTTGCATGAGGTTCTCTGTGTATATGCTGTGGCTATTGGCATGGAGTTTTCATGGGATTCCTAATGGTGGGAGCAGGTGTGTCTCTGACTCTTTGCCTGTTCTTGGGACTCTTTTCCTCTCAGTGGGTTGGTTTGTTGAGCATTGATATGAGGGCTTTCACCTTGTCCTACTGCATTTTGTTTTTGTCCTATTTGGCTGTTGTCTCTTGGAGGCCAACTCTTTTCTGAAATGGAACCAGAGCAGGTGTGGGACTCTAGGGGAGAGGAGAGATGGGAGGGGGCTGTGAGAAGTGGAGGGAGGAGGAACTGTGGTCAGATAAATTACATGAGAGAAGTAACTATTTTCAATTAAAAAATAAAATTAAACACAACAAAAAAAAAAAAACAAATCTCAGGCCTTTTCCTATCTGAGAGAAGTTGATAATGATAATCAAAGGCATCTCATTAAGTTGTGATAACTAAATTATTTCATTCTAGAGGTCATTGAGAGTAACATGCTATATCATAAGCACCAACTGCATGTTAGGTTCTCCTATAAAAAAACAAGTTTATTAAGGACAGATAATGTCAAATCATTATTTTCCATTGTTCCTTAGCATAATTATCAACACACAGAAAACAATCAATAGAATTTGCAGATTTTTTTTTGTTACAGTGTCTTATTATATAGCTTAAGTTTCCTGCAGTTCATTATGTAGACCAGCCTGGCCTTGAACTCATGGGCAGTCCCAGCGTACCTCTGCCTCCTGAGTGGAATGGTTTTTTATAAGGAAACATGCATTCTTGAAATGTATCTTAAAATCCAATGTAACAATTTTAATTGTAGAATAATTAGAATAGTTACAGTTGCCCTGATAGAGGTGACAAAATGCCAGGGGAGATCCAGAAAATGGAAAACAATTCCTGGTGTAAACATAACCAAAAGTGCACAAAAAAAAAGTTTGGCAAAACATTTTGTAAGCTATAGTTTCAGAGTATAAGACTCAAGCCCTTGAAAAGCAATGCCTGAAGCAGTTACAAGTGTGTTTTGTCCCAGGGACTGCAAATTAGAATATGAATTAGTTACCAAAATTCCTGCATATGAGGGGATTCAATGCGATTGTGTTGCGGAACTATTTTCAAGTTGTGATACTACCCAAAGTGAGTGAGATCTCTGAGGAGTGCTGGGCCACACGCTGAACAGCAAAAGAAAAAAAGATGACAGCTCCTGAAGAGCTGAGGATTTTTACATTTTTTTTATTCTATTAGGAGATGCTGAACTTTCTAGGCATCCGCATATATTACATGTACTAATATAAAGTCTTCCTCGGAACAATGACTTCCTGTAGCTCGCACTAGTTTTTTAAAATATGATATAAGCATAAACAATAGAATTTTGGATTTCTGGAAGTGGGCAAGATAATTATTTCAGAGAAAATAATTTCATTTTTAAAATGAATACATGATTTCCCTTAATTATTCTGTACAATAAGAATAATTTGACTGAAAGGAAATAAAGCAGTTTGACATTTCCACTCATTAATCAGCATCCTTCTTGCCTTTCTTTGAAAATTTTTTTAAAAACTAGTTCGCTGCAAACAAATTATTAGCTGATTAGGCATGCCAGCCAAAAGGAAGTATCCCTTTGTCAGAGAGAGAACTCTGCACCTTGCAACATATTTCTGTAGCTTTTTTTTTTTTTCAAAAATAAAGACAGAACTGTAGCTTTTATTCTCACATTCATCCTTGAATCATGGGAAATGGACATATGGGAGGAAGAGGGAGCATAGCAACAGGTGATGCTGCACCAGACCCCACTAAAACCAACATGCAGCAAGACAAGAGGCCAGCCAAGAGGACCATCTGATACCCAGATGCCACCGCTGAAAAAAATCATTGCAAAGCTTGGCAGCAATTTCCTGCATCTGTCAAGTTAACCACATAAAAGACTATAGATTGACATGAAGAACCAGGCTGACAAAGAGGGCAAAAAAGAACATATCAAATGCCATAATCATCAAGGGGATGCGGTGCCAAATGAATGCTGCAAATGCATTCATTTACTCTGGTGATCTGGGATTGTATTGCTGTTTATTAAAAATGATGTCAAAAGAAGCCTGAACTGTCTACAGAAACATGCAGAAAATCCCAGGGCTGTATCTTAACAGAAACTTTCTTTTCTACAAAATAATGTCTCTCTTTATTTCCACTTCTACATAGCAAGCCCTAAACAATACCAAGCTTTTGTTTTTAATGCCTTTGAAACGGATTCAGCTAACCCCTATGCCCTCCAACTCTAAAAGGGAAAAAAATTCTAGAGCATGGATTTAAGTGTACAGCTATACAATATATAGTATTTTTCATGGTCATATTATGATATTTGTGACTGTTTTCATGCTTGCGTGATTTCAAGTTTTGCTAATTTTACGCTCCCCATTCTCAGGTATAGTAAGTTACTTAACTAGTGAATCTCCTTAGCGCAACACTTAATTGTGTATTTACTAGCAAATATTATTTTAAGAACATTTTCTTGCTGTCATGAAAAATACCATGTAAAAGAAAATGAGTGGTTCTGGCAATATGGCGAGGAAAAATCAGAAAGATATACATTTGGAAGATACAGAAAATGACATGAATGCGGGGGTGACCCCAAGAGATGATGTGCACTCAGATACACTCAGTGAAGACCACAAGTGTTTGACACAGAAATGGAAGAACAATTCCAGACAATGTTGCAACCAACCAACAATTAGCCTTCAATTAAAAAAATTTAGTAAAATCTGAAAGTGTAGTTTAGCTTGTGATTTGAGGATGTATTCAGGAAACATCTTTTTATAAATACGAATCTCAAGCCAAAGCCAGAAAACTTTCAAAAAAATTGAGTGTAGCAACAGGCACGTTGAATAGCCGTGGAGTAAAGTGTTATTCTTAGAAAGCAGTCTTCTAAGAAAGTATACTTTCATTGTTGTCAGGAGGAAAACCAACAATAGATTACATTATAATGGAACTTATAGGAGGAAAAGGCACTATGCAGGAAGTAAGTTTCTCTTGTTGCTAAATTCTGACTGGAGGGAACCTGCTTTGAAAATATCTACATCCAACGTGAGAACAGAGCACTCGGACTGCAGACAGCTGGCGGAGGATAGCACAATGTGATGGGTCCTGTCTGATCTCAGATATGAATTTTAACCTTTACATCTATGCTGATTTAACTGTGTAACAAAAGAGATTATGTAATAGCCTTGAGTTTATTTTCAAGACAAATATTAAACAATTTCATCCTTCATTCCGTTCAATGCCATCGAGAACTTTGGAGGACCCTTAAACAAAGTTTTACTATGCTAGCAATACTCTCCTGATTTAAAGGAGAAAAACGATGGATATATTTAGAACTTTGCAATAGTCGCAAATGTCAAAGACTTATTTATTTGTATGAAGAACAAGGAACAAGAACAAAGGCCTGTGATCCCCAAGTCTGAAGCCTAGAAGGAGCAAGGGTATGTGACAGCTGAGAAGATACTAAATCTCCATCAGTGTCTAGTCTTCTAAATATAATTTCACTAATGATTTGGAACAGTTAAACCTAGAGCAATTTAACTCACAGTCTGGAAAGACAGCCAGGCTTCAGCAAGGTGGCATTTCTGCCTGTTATTACAAAGGCTCAACTACTCTGTTGAAAGCCAATCAATGACTTTATATCTCCCCCCCCCAATAGTCCTTAGTTCAATTTAAAACTTCAGTATAAAGAAATATATTCAGTATAAAGAAATCTATTTAAATGATAATTCACATTTATGTAGTTGACATAGTCTTTAATGAAATGTTCCTATATGGAAAACAGCAGGCAGTATATGTACTATGTAAAATATTTGCTTTGAGCTGGACATGTTGCACGGACCAGGAGTTCTGTGTAGCTAACCAAGGAAAAGCTACCTAGGTTTGTATGAAAAGCATAAGCAATGCCACTTTCAGGTTAATGAAATATAGAGTTTTCACTTTTTCCCTTTAACTTTCCATATTCTTTGGTTTATAAATCAAACTCATATAAAAACAGAAAAGTAAAGATATTTTTATTTTAAAAAAACAAGATGTATAGTATAGTGATTCTAGATTTTAGCGAGTACGGGTTAATACACTTTGCAGCATCATGCTTACATGACTTTACAGAGTTGTGCTTAGCTGTGACTAGCTGTGCTGTATTAATAATAAAGTTGTGGTGATATTTGCTTTTTAATTAATTCTGAAACTATTAAATATTACAAAATTAAATTAAAAATATTCAAATTAATGAGGCTATTAAACTTATGATCTGAATTCCTTAGTTTTAAAAATAAAATAAATTTTAAAAATAAATAAAATAAATAAAACTTATAATACAAAATGGCCTGGTTTAGTGAAGCTTTGGAGCCAATTCTTTCACTTCCAAAAACTAATTACTCAATGGCTTTTTTCATGGACAGCGGATAACTTTCTCCCTCATTTTCTATTGTGTGCTTTTATCCCTTTCTCCTGTCATACCGCTGTACCCTGTAAGAGAGAGCAGAGCAGGCTGCCATGTCCTGGTCCTGGTCTCAGAGAGAGTGCGTTAGGTTCTTCCTCATTTGGGATGATATTGGTTATGAACTTGTCATATATTGCATTTGTTTTCTGTTATTCTTAGTGTTTGATTACTTTGAACCTCAGTTTTCCAAGTTTTTTTTTAAATCATGGAGGAATACAGATTTTATTAAATCTTTCTCTGCATTGGTCAAATTGTGAATTGAATAAATGTGGGAATAAAAACAAATAAAAATTTCCTTAGTTGATATCAGTCGGTAGTATGAACCATGAAAAACAGCAGCGTTGTAAGTCAGGGTCTCTGCTTCCTACACGGAGAATTGGTTAGGCCAGCACACCAACAGTCTAGCACTTATTTACTTCACTGTATTTTTACTTGTATCTGTGTTCTCTATGTAGCCAGGGTAGCCTTGAACTCCTGCATCCTCCTGAGCCACTCTCCCAAGTGCTGCGGGTTCTGGTGTAAGCCACACTAGCTGCCATCCCTAAGAGTTCACAGAAAATGTGAAATAGATATTTTCAATAATTAAACATTTTATTTGACAAAAACCACACACAAATTTAATTAATTATATTTAAAAGAAGTTTCATCATTAATTTCTTCAGGAGAAGGAGGAATGCCCACTCTCTCTAATATGTGCCCCAAACTTCTTAATATAATTTATTATAAGCAACTGTACATTCTTATAAATGCTTATTGTTATATCAGTGAAATAGTTTTCATAGATATTTTAATTATCCTAATATATTTATAAAATTGTACATAGCACAATAGCTGTTACTTCAGCAATAATTTTTAGTTTTAGAAACAAGCAAAGGCAGCTGGCAATTTCTTCAGGTCAGAACAAAATAAGACTGTACATGTCCTATTTTACAAGGATTGATTTTGATTTTATAAAAGTTTTAATTAAATATAATTACTTCATTTCCCCAACTCTTTCCTGCTCCCAAACCCTTCCATGCACCCTCCTTTAAACATCTGCCATGTTCCCCACCTCCCCCTCAGATTCATGGCTTCTTTTTCTTTATGATTGTTACGTACATACCATACACACACACACACACACACACACACACACACACACACTGAAATGTGTAAGTATGCACACATAAGCTGCTGATTCCATTTAGTGCTGTTGTGTGTCTATGACTTCAGCACTGATCATTGGGTACTGGTTAACCAATGAGGGGACTCATCCCTGGGAAATATGAATTCCTCCCCTAGCAATCATTAGCAGCCTGTAGTTCTTGGTCTAGTAATGGACCTGGTGACCTTCCCCCTTTCATGCCAACATGTCTATCGGTGTTATCCTTGAGGTTTCATGAGTATAGCTTCTCTATCTTACAGCAGCCTTTCTGTTCCTCTGGCTCTTAACCGTCTTCTGACCCATCTTCCTTAATTGATTCTGATTATTTTGAACTATTCAATATTTTATCAACTTAACATTTGTATAAATGATACTTATATTGCAAAAAATTGAATGATAGTGAAAAATATTTAATTACAATTACAAAAGAGCAGGACAGAATATACAGTAAATAAAATCTATTTGTTTCAAAAGTTTGTTAGAAATCTGCAATAATTCTCAAAGAAGTTACTTACAAACTATAGTATTTATAGCCAAAGTTTTCCTTTGTTTTAGGCATTGCAAACAAACAATATTTCTAAATGATGTAATTCAGTGAAACATACCTGACTACATGGTCCCTTATAATAATGAACATACTTGGTGTCAAATAAAAGAAAGAGGAATCCTAAGCATAGGCAGATTGGTATAAAATGTACTTCACCAGAATTGAATATTTCCTTAAATTAAGGCTAAGCATGTTAAAGCTAGAACTGATTTTCCCGATGAAGGTAAGGTTTCATACTCTGGAGGTTAGTCAAATAGCGCAAGCAAATTTTCATACCTCTATGAGACAGTTTCCTGAAATCAATAAAAACTGTGACCCCGAAAACAGCATTTCATGCTGAACAGATGAATACTCAGCACAGGTAGGATCTATGACCATCAGTTCCTACCAACTAAATGAGAATGATTAGTATAATGGGCCTTAAAACACACCTTCAGCTTGTGCTCTTTTCTGTTGATGATGACAGCTGTAATCTGTTGGTCCATGAAAATCAGAATTGTACAAAGCAAAGCTGGGATAATGGCAGCTATAATTGTCCACCATGGGTTTGGACCTAATGGGGTAACAAACCATCCACGGTCGTCTCTTGTAGGCTGAGAAAAAAATTAATCATACATATTAGTACCTAGATTGATAAATACCTAATTGAACTAAGTCATATAGATATAAACAGGGAATTCTTAATTATAAAATGGTTGGCTGAGCATTCAACAATAATGAACTCATGAAGAATTTACATCACTAAGGATACCATTCTAAGTGTGTTATCTTTCAACTCATTTTTTTCTACTAAACACTGTAAAGATGAAATTGAGGTATAGAACGCTATAGTAAATTGTCTAAGGTTCCTGGCTAGTAATTAATCGAGGCTGAATTTAAACTCCAGCAGGTTAATTAAAAACATATTCACAATCAATATCTGCATTAAGTAAATAACACCAACACTTAACATTTACTGTTGGCAAATTTAAAATTGCATATTGAAGACTATGTTAGAAACAAGATCATAGATAAATAAGATAGAACACTCGTTCAGTTTATAATCACAAGCAGACAAATAAACAGAGTGTTCTGATATAATATAGTAACTTATTTTAGGTATGTACAGAGGCTGCTGTACAAAAATTAAAAACAAAAAAACAGAAACTCAGTCACATCAGAAGTTCAGCAAAAGGTTCAAAACATGGCTGTTTCTGGAACTGGATCCCAGAAGAATTCATTGTGACAGCAAAAATCCTTTGATTAAGTCCTTAGTTCTGTTTGACAGATGAGAAAACAGGCTGAGACAGTAAGTTCCTGGCTTCAGGGGCATGTCCTGCCTTTATAATATGGCTGGCATTCTCATCCAAAGACTATTTTATCTGGTTTTCAAACCCCATCTACTCTACGGCTTCACCTCACAATAATGTATGTTCCTTAGTTTCAGAATGATTCCTTGGCATTAGGCATGTTGTAATGTATGTATACATTCCAACCATAATAGCCAAGAAGAAAATGTTTAAGCAGCCTTCTGGTTTCATTTCTATAATTCTATTTTAATATTAAATCACAATTTTATTCATACTGTGTATCATTTATTTCTTATTCTATTAATATCTATTGTTCACACTCTCAGGAAAATCTCACGTACTGGGGTCACAGATATCATTTACATAAAGATTTATAGACACAGAGAGATAGAAAGTAGATAGATGCTAAGTGCTAGTTATGTTCACCTTGAAAACACTTGGTACTTTTAGTTTTGGCGATGGAATCCCAATGGCATAGTCAATTAAAACCATACACAGAATTGTAAGAAAAACTGCAAAATCGCTCACTATGGATCGAACCTAGAAATAAAGAGAACGTTGTTACTTGGGAGAGCTATAAACAACAAGGTACGCAGAAACAGTCTCAAATCATACTTTACAAGTGCTGTTACTGCAATGTTACCTTCTATGCACATTATAAAGTATTATTGTTAGCTATTCTAGAATTTGAATACATATTCATGTTCCTTGTCCACACTTCTCAGAAAAAAGATTTATTGACCTGAAATAATGGTGGTCATTTTCCTTTCAATATTTATGTAAAGTATTTATTTCTATCCCAGGTATGTTAAAACTTAGAACATAGATTTAGGTCATCTGGCCTGAATCTGATGAATTTTAGGACTCTTGCATACAAGTTACATTTTAATATTATGAATCTAAAGGACCATTAAACAAAATTACCTGTTTTATTTACTTTAATTTTTTAAAATTGCTTTACTCAAGGCATGACATTCAAAAACAGTGTGGACAAGCTTTAAAAAATTCTTTTATTTAAAGCAAATTCTGTATAAATCAGTTTTTGAGCCATTTCTCGTTGTAGGAAGCCATTGTGTGGGAGTGCACAGCACACAGTACACATGTGTAAGTTAGAAAAGAAGCTCTTAGACACTGGCCTTCACACAGTTTCTCATTGGCATGGAACTTCACCAGGTAGGCCAGGTTCATGGACAGGCACATGCAGGATTCATCTCCTCCTATCCAATCTCACTGCCCCTGGGATTACAGGTGTATACCAATACACCAGCTTTTTAAAACACGGCTTCTGAGGCTCTGCATTCTCATACTTCCAAGGCAAGCACTGCACTGACTGAACCACCCCTAGGTCCTACAAGACGTGCTTGAGTAATTATCCTTAAGCTGTTATCAGTTATATTGATCTTCTATTAGTATGCTTTTGCAACACGTGCACAAAATACTTAGGATTAAGTTTCCAACATACAGAGAATAATTCAGTATTGATCAGGTTAAGTGGAGGTGGAGGAAATGAATCTGTCATATTAGCAAGGAGTAGGTGACAGAAAAGCGGCTCTCTGTGGAAGGGAAAACTTCTCCACACATTTACCAAAGAGGAAGGCTTTTGAAATGGGTATCTCAACCCCAAAATATTTGTTTCCTCGGTTTTGTTTTCTATCTCACTCACTGTCCCCTTTTGTGGTGGAATCAAACATCAAAGAAGTTACTTTTCAGAGCTAAGTGTTGAACTCAACTGATTCTCTGTTTACTTCCCAAATATGCAGATACAAGCATGGTGGATTAGGGCAAAGGGTTGGTGCTTTTAAAACAAGAAGACAGTTGTCTAAAGAGCATTGCAGGGTTTCTCCGTTCAACCTCTTAGCTACAACACCTTTGAGCATCAAATGACCCTTTCTCAGGGGTTGTCTAAGGCCATTGGAAAATACAGAGAGCTATATTATGATTCATAACAGTAGAGTATTGCAGCAATGAAGTAGTAGCAATGAAAACAAATTTATGGTTGGGGTCCCCACAACATGAGGGCCGATAGTAAAGGGTCACGACATTAGGAAGGCTGAGAACCAGGGATTAGACAGTGTAATGGCTGCTCCTCTGAGGTACCTGTCAGGCTGGAATAGGTTCCTCTGCCTACTGGGAAAGAACGCTATACTCAGTGATATGATGTGTGCTTAGACTTCCCAAAACTGTAAGTGGGAAGGGAAGTGCTGACCCTTTCCGTGAGAGGTAAAACCTGAAGGGCTTCTGCCACCTGAGATACCTGTGTCACCAAAGTGCCCCCTCCCACCTCCCCCGCCTACCACTAACTCGCCAATTCCCCAGGACTATAACCTCTCCGTGGTTCCCTTCATTCTGTCACTAACTCTCCTTTGTTCTTAAGAATGTGGCATCTCACAACTGTCCTTTAGTTTATGTTTGGGTCAGGAATATTAGAGCCCAGGTACCTTGGTTGGGAAATACCGGCTCGTCTTGAACTGCTTCAGGGTGGCTGACATGGTAACTGTGGAGAAGAACAGGATCACCGACCAAAAGAGAACATCTGGCACGTAGGGGTGGCCATGGCCACAGGCTCGCCCAACATACTCCCCGTGCAGTGATCGGCACTCCTGCCCGGGAAGGAAAACAGAGCTGGTAAGGAAAGTCCAGTGCTTTTCTTCCAGAAACTAATACCTGATCAGCTGCAGCTGTCCACCGAGGGCTCGCACAAGGATTTAGATAAGGTATTTGCTTTCAAAATTCTACTTGGATAGGTATTAAACCTAACTATTAAGTTCAAGATAACAGATGTACTTCAAGTGTGGCAAGTTTGATAATGCATAGTTTGTACTAACATCAGAAGCACGACAAAGCATTAAAATGTATCATTTTCACCATTTTCAACACCAACAACAGAGACAGATGTTTTCATTTATATTTGATATCTGAGAAAGTCAGGGCCTGGAGAGATTGAACAGTGTACTTCAGCCTCATCATGTGTGGTGGAGCTGACCGCATGCACCACTCCTACAGGGGGTTATAGCATATTAAAATAATATGATTTAGAGAAAGTTGTTTAAAACTACCAAGAAAGAAAAGAAAGGCAACAAGAAGATGGTGATATACAATTAATGAAATGGACTTTCAGTCAGATATGGTAACTACAGAATTCAAAGAAAAAAATGAAGAAAACATTACCACATGAGCAAGGGAAAAATCATGTCTATTAATCTGATATATATATTTCTCTTTCTAAAAAAAGAGAAAGAAAAAATTAATTACTGCCTTAACCATTAGGTGGCAGCAAAGTCAAAAAGAACTTTAAGACAAAATAACATTTTATATAAGCATTAAATATTATGAAAGGAAAAAATATTCTGTCATCTTGGAAAACTTTTGTATTCTAAAAATTATATTACTCTGCTCCAAAATAAATAACAGCTTAGAAATCCAGTGACTTCTTTAGTCATCTAGGCATTCTGAACAAAGTTTGAACTGTGCAACAGCAGGAAGAGAATTTAAGGGACACAGTGTTTTCACTGAATCAAACCTCAAATCCCCACGTCTTCTACAGCATAGGATCAACTCCTCTGGAAGATTTTAAGATAAGTAAGTAGCTACAATGTCATCTGAAACAAGTAACCAACCAGTAAACTCCACTTGACATAGGTGCCCTAACCAAAGACTCTGGAGAAATATATCAGTATAATTTATAACCACCTAAGGGGTCTGCCAGAACCTTTCTTGCTAGCTCAATTTCAATTATTCATGTTAAGCTGACCTAAGGCACAGAAAAATGGCTATTGAAAAACTACAGAATAATCCTCTAGATAGCATTTATAGCTTTAGTTTTCTTTTCTAAATCAGAATAAATAAAAAACAATAACTAAATCTTCAAGTTTTCATTTTTCTTTTCTTTGTGTGTGTCCCTGTTCAGAAATGCTTGGAACAATTGCTAAGAAGTACAACGTGTACTGGGATGCCTAAGCAGAGGAGGCGAGAGTCCCACGCATGGCACACTGATTTGTGAGCACCTGTAATGCAGGTGTGAAAGGCTTCTAAACATTCCCTGGATGCACCTGGGTCATATCCTCTACTTCTAAGGAGTCAGACGCCAGTGAAAGATCCTTCAACTGCCTTATCTATAACAGTCCACCAATACTAAGCCTAATTGTTCTAACCCAAGCAGATTGGACAATATTAGTTTCTCTTGTTTTTCAGGGGTCAGGGTCTATAAATTTAAAAGGTAAATCTTGTGACCTACAAAATTCAACATTTATTTTCAGTTTCTGCTATCTGTGTGTGGCACACACACAAGGAGAGAGATGAGGGAAGGATAGAAACGAGAGAGGAGAGAGAGAGAGAGAGAGAGAGAGAGAGAGAGAGAGAGAGAGAGAGGAGTCTTGAGATTTAGAAATGCAAACAAAATCCAAAACCTGTCTTTCACTTTAGTCTAACTGGAAGGAATAGAAAAGAAAGTGGGGCTACCCAGGGAATTTTGTATTTGTTATAAAGCAGAACACGTTTTTTAAATACAAATTTAATGCTTTCACTGAATAGAAACAACTGAAACTTATGAATGCAGATTATGAGACACACACACATACATGGAGTACAAAGTAAAAACAGAGAAATGTTCCTGTGAGAAAAAAAAATTACAGAGAAGAAAATGAAGCAAAGGTACAGGATTTAAGCATTATAGGCAAAAACGTATGTGTAGCCCCCTCCCTTTTCCTTTGAGTAGACTAAAGAATAAAAATGGAAGTTGGAAATCTGTTGAGAAACATATGAGAGTTTTTTTTAACTGTCACATTCATCAAAGACTAGTATTTACAGTAAAATATCAGCCCATCCGCTCTCCTCATCCTGTTCTGAACAGTGGGAGAAGCACACACAGCAAGTGGAAATATCCTCAGTCCTGCGTGGGCAAAGCAGAATGGGCCCCGCCGTGATGATCACCAGGACTCACAGTTAATGGTCTTCAGCCAACTTTAGTTCTGTTCTGTTTGTGTAACAGAAGGGCAACTCAGGTCTACGAGAAGTTTTTATTTATTTTTTTTTTTTTTGGTAAGGAGTGAAAACTCGACTGTGGATGGATATCTGAAATGGAGGGACTTTAAAACGAAGCTGTCACTTGTGTAAGTTTGTATTTTAAAATTCTTACCTTAGTTGCAATAAGTGATTAAAAATGTCAACAAAAGTCTTTACAGTAAATGACTCAAGATGTGACTTCTTGTGCCATGTTTTACTTACGGACACGCTGAGGTTCCCCCAAATTATATCAGAGGCAGAAATATTGGACTCCCTCCATTCCTTCAGTGTAGCGTTGCTGGGACTATGTGGCTCCATACAGTTACATCTGAAAGAGCAAAACAATTGCTTTTCTGAAATAAGATTTTTTTTTTTACTGTATCTAAAGAATATACCTGAGAAACCATTTTACCTAGATAAAGCATTCATCCGTCTGACAGGCAAGTAGCTAGGTTACCTAAAACACTCTTGGAAAGACTATACCAACAATTAAGACTAGAATGCTGGGATACCGGACCACTTAGCAGTATTTTTTAGAAGAAGGGATGATTCCAACATTTATATGCCTGTGAGTTGTAAGCTACCTGGAAAAATTACAAACATTCTACTTTAACTATTTGTACAACCATATTAACTAAAAACAGAATGACATTTAATTCACGCTCTGAAGGTCTCATTTAACTTTGTCATACAATTCTAAGTTAAAGATTGTAGAAAGCTCAGTGCTATGCTGGCCTTTGTGATGAGGCACAATTCTACTAAAGATCAAACAATCAATACAAATCTTTAGTGCACATTGTGTGTGAGGTTTTATGATGGTTATTGGAGTCATTCATGATCCTTTTGCCTTGTCTGTTGGGAAGCATTTTCCTATAGACAAAGACTTCAGATGGTGCTTGGGGTCCAAGACAACCCAAACAGGCTACACAGCTGGAACATGCGTTAGCCTGCTGCTCTAGTTATATTACTAGAACTGACTTCCATTGCTAAGATTATTTTTTTCTTTTGTTTATTTTAGAGACAGGGTTTCTCTGTTGCTTTGGAGCCTGTCCTGGAACTCGCTCTACAGGTCAGGCTGGCCTCGAACTCACAGAGATCCACCTGCCTCTGCCTCCCCAGTGTTAGAATTAAAGCTATGTGCAACCACTGCCTGGCACTAAGATTATTTCTATTGGAAAGTATCTGTCTGCCTAGGAAACGCTCCACTGTTTCTACTACAGGAACTTTCTTTGCTCATTACCACAAATCTTCCATGTTTCAAGTGGTTATCTAGTCCATCACTAAAAGAAATCCTACTTGAGAAGGCCTGTAGAGACAGGCACGGTTGGCTCTCACTAGAGGAAGATAGAGTTCCTCTAGCAGAGCTCACGTGGAGAGGGCTCCGGGGGAAAGTCAGCGACAAGGGTTTTAAGAGAACGGGGTAAAAAAAAAAAAAAAAGATTTTCAGCAACAGATAGTGCTTAATTATGGCTGTTCCCAAGTCCCAGAAATTATGATAGAATACAGGTTTTTGTGTCAGGGAGCTCAATCATCTATGTAACCACGGGCAAATATGACTCAACCATTCTATATTTCTTTCCATTTTATGGGAAATATAATTGAAAACACTCACGTATTAGGGGTAATATGAGGAATAAGTTAAGATTACACACAGAGTTGTGTGTGTGTGTGTGTGTATTTGTCTCTGTCTCTCATTCATCACTCTGTCTCTCTGTCTGGGTCTCTGTCTCTGCCTTTCTCCCACCCCCGTGTGTGTGTGTGTGTGTGTGTGTGTGTGTGTGTGTGTGTGTGTGTGTGGTGTTTAGTGCACATTGGCGCTCTCTGGAATTGTGGCTGCTCTCCTCATGATCATTATCATTATTGTTTTCTAGTTCCTTCCTCAGCCGTTGATGATGTATCACAAATGTTACATTTTCACTCGAACATAACATGAAAGAAACATCAATGCATTCCTACCATGCTAAAGTTCTCTTCATTTTCTTTCAAAGTAAACTTGCACGCAGTCAATTCTACTTATCCAGATTCTGCATTCACAGTCTCATTCAATGTGATTTACAAATATCTAGAGAAAAACTGTTTCTTTACCAAACCCATGTGGATTTATTCCTTATCATCATCTCCTAAAGAACGCAGGGTGACAACTATTTATCTTGCACACATTACATGGATATGACACCTTAGGGTGTGTGAAGGTTATATGAACATACTACACAACTGTATAGGAGGGATAACTTAGTCAAGTCCATACTAAGAGAATTAGATGGGAATCCTTGTTTGTTTGACCCTGTAAGTCCTGCTCTTTCAGCTGTGATAAACTGTTTCTAGATAGAAGTTGGTGCCATTTCTATCAGGATAGCTAGAAAGTGAGACTGTCCCAGATCAAATGAAGTGATCTACATTTCTCCCCTATTCTATGCCTCCCCTATTCTCTTTTTCGGGACCTGTCTCCTTTAAGAGATCCCTCTTAATGTGCTGCACTCTTGCCCTTTATTATGGCAACTCCATTACATCTACCACTCTCATTCCTGCTGTTCAGTGCCCGTTTCTCACAGCCCTGCATATGGTGATGTGGCTTTTCACTTCACTTGCCTTGTATGGACTTCCTTGGGGTTACGACCTCTGCTGTTTAGAGTGACTGTACTGGGTTAGTGAGAACAGGGGCATAAGGGTGCCACTGCATTCTTGGTATTCTGTTTTCATTTACATGCTATCAATGGTTTCCTGAAAGTGCTAAGCTAGAAATCCAATATAATAATGGCAAGCTCAAAGGAAAGACGTATTTTAGAATGAATATTAGTTACGTTTGCCTCAATGACAGGGTGCTGTGGCTACTCACTTTTCTCAAATCAGTTCCAACTTGGAAAAATATTTTAGCCTAAAATATTTATTTTATACATAAAGACATCATGAACAGCCAAGAAAATCACTGTAGAGTTCACACACTAGATATGAGAACGGTCAGCAGGCAGGTTTCACAGTGTGCATGCTTACATAGAAAGTTTCAGTTATCTTTGGGACTCTGCCTGCAACTCTCAATAACGTGTCTCTCTAGCTATGTGAGGCCTAGGGTCAATCAATCCCTAGTACAGAACCAGGAAAAAAGTAAATGATCTGTGTACAACACTTGGAGGCTCAAAAGGGACCTCTGAATACGGGACTCACATGTTCTTAAATATGAATCAAGGATAAAATGAGGAAATTTTCACATCTTCCCTTGATAGGAACACAATCCAAATATGGAAACAACCTAAAATCTAAAGCAAAGAAATGAAACAAAAAACAGAAGTAGCATTGTAAGGGGATAAAACATGAGTGAAGAGCAAATTCTCTGGCTAATTTCACCCAAACCAGCTTCTGAAGACTCTAACAGTAATGTGGAAGTATAAATGCAAGACTACTCTTTAGGTATTTTCTCACAATAATGGATATTCCAGCCAAATTTATTCATTCAAATCAATCATTTAGCTGAGTGATCTTGGACATGATACGTAAGCAATCAAAGCTATAGTGTCTTCATGTACAAAATGGCAGTGACAGTCTCCAAGTTCACAGGTTATGGTGAGAGCAAACAAATTAATATTGGCAAAATCCCCAAGATAAGATCTATCGTAAGTAAATACTAATAGGGCGTTCTGTGCCATCGCTGTGGTTATGACTACTGTTGTGAGTATGACAGACCCCTGGAGTAGAAAGTAGAAAGTAGAGAGTCAGCCCAACTTCTCTAATACATTACTGCTTTTCTATATTGCTACTACAGCTCACTAGCTATAAACTTCAAACCGGGGATAGTGATGCCTCTACTAGTTCTGTCATCACTCAGGATGTGCTCGTGCTCTCTCTCTCTCTCTCTCTCTCTCTCTCTCTCTCTCTCTCTCTCTCTCTCTCCCTGTTTTTGGGTGTGCTTCCAAACAAAATTCAAGATTAGTTTTTGAATTTCTGTGTCAATTGAGTTGGAATTTTGATGGAGATTTCTGTGAGTCTACAACTTGCTTTTGGTAGTACGGCCATTTCCACGATATTATTCCATCGACACAGGCGCATGGGAGGCCTTTGCATCTCCCTGCATCTTCTTCCATTACTTTCTTTGCTATCTTAACATTTTTTATTTTAAAAATTCATCTTTCGCTTCCTTAGTTAGATTTATTCCAGGATATTTTTGAGGCGACTGTGAATGGGATTGTTTCCCTTAATAATTTCTTTCTCAGTATGTTTTCACTTGTATATAGAAAAACTACTGATTTTTATGTGTTAACTGTGTATGCTGCTACTTCACTGAATAATTTATCAACTGTGGAAGTTTCCTGGTGGATTATGTAGGTGCTTTTATACAGAACATTATATCATCTGAACATAGGGGTAATTTGACTTCTTTCTCTATTTGTACCCCTTTATCTCTTTCACTTATTTTATTGCACTAGCTAACTCTTCAAGCAATCTACTGAACAAGAATAAAGAGGGTGAATATCCTTGGCCTGTTCCTTATTTTAGTTGAAATTCTTTTTTAAAAATTTATTTTATTTTTTTTAAAAAGAAAACTATTTTTTTTTCATTTTACATGCCAATCCCAGTTCCTACTCCCTCCCCTCCTCCCATTACCTCCACATATTCCTTCCCCCCACCCCCCATCTACTCCTCAGAGAGGGTAAGGAACATTGCTTTGGGGAAGGCCCAAGGCCCTCTCTATTATATCTAAGCTGAGCAAGGTATCCATCCAAAGAGAATAGGTTCCCAAAAAGCAGTAGAGATAAATCCTAGTGCTACTGCCAGTAGCTCCACAGTCTGCCCCAGCCACACAACTATCATCCACATTCAGAGGGTCTAATTTGGACCTATGCTGGTTCCTTACCTGTCCAGCTAGAGTTGGTGAGCTTCCATTAGCTTAGGTAAACTGTTCTAGTGGTTGTCCCTATCATGAATTTGACCTCTTTGCTCATATTCTCACTAGTCCCACTCTTACACTGGACTTTGGGAGCTTAGCCCAGTGCTCCACCGCGGGTCTCTGCCCGTTTCCATCAGTTGCTGGATGAAGGTTCTATGGTGATATTTAAGATATTCATCAGTCTGACTACAGGGCAGGGCCAGTTCGAGAGCCCTCTTCTCTATTGCTTAGGGTCTTAGCTGGGGTCATCCTTGTGGATTCCTGGGAATTTCTGTAGTCAACCTACCTCAGGACTCAGCAATATCACCACTCTTGGGCATAAACCCAAAATATGCTCAATCAAACTAAAGGGTCATTTGTTCAACTATGTTCATAGTAGTATTATTTGTAAAAGCCAGAACCAGGAAACAACCTAGATGCCCCTCACCTGAAGAATGGATAAAGGAAAT